AAAGAGCTGGTATCTATGAAGTTGGATTCTCATTAGTGAGAATTTGATTCCAGCTGATACATATCATATGCGGATTCTCGCAGAGTATAGTTAAATCAAAAACAATAAATTTATGTTTACATAAAGCCTTGTCAATAATCTTAATCACACTACGTCAGTCATTAGCATATTGATGCACAATATGGCTTAGCTCATCTGCAATGCAGGACCCATTAAATAGGTAGACATGTGTGAGATTTTTTCGTATTTTTTTTAGACAGTCAAAGTAACTCTACGATACATATATCAAATTGACATTATAATGGCGCCTCTCAATAAAATAAGAGATGATCTTCTCCTGCATTTTTTTTTAGGTCAGCGCACATATCTTTGAATATAGGTACTGTATTTCTATCTGAAGAAAACGAATCCACTTTAGGGATTTTATCAGGCTTCAAAGCTCAAAATGTAATATTTTCATGATAAGGCTTTAGACTATTTGCAATTATCTGATATGCTGATTTGAGGTACATATATTTTGGCTCCTTAAGATTGTAGCTGATGAGTAGCAAATCATCATACTTAATATAACGTGTCTCTCCTTTCTTCCCATTAAACATTTGATAAAGCTTATTTTCAAGCATAAGATTAAGAATTTCATTAGTTTTTCCTAAATTAGTACGGCCACAGATCAATAAAGTGAAAGGCCATTGGGGAACACTTGGATGACCATTTTATTTTTAGCATCTTTAATCTTGTTAATATAGTATACTAGCCTATAAACTGGCTCAAGTTTCTTTATTTTCATAGTAAGCTAACTATTAATACTAATATACTAAAAATATCAGACTGATTTATCAGTCCTTCCTTTTATTTCTTTGTTTTATCCAAGAATCCTTTCTCGATTAGTATATATTTAATAAACAGATATAAATTCACAATATGAGGCACTTTAATAAGGTATATACCTTGGTCCTTGCATATATTCCGCTTTTTCTGATCGCATATATTTGTGATTTTAGATTTTCATTCTTCTGGTGGTAAAAGCTATTATGATGATAGTGTTAAGGATCATGGAATTCGAATGCAAGACACAATTCCTCATTATATCTATCCAAATGTAGTTTATCTAAGAACTTAGCTTTACATAGCAGAAATTTTTTACCTAATAAATCCTTAAAAATATATTGAAACTTGCGTTCACCATAATATGATGATATAGAGGGTACCATTCGAATTTTCTCATGATGTATTTTAATAAATACTCCCATTGATGTACACTGTTTTCACAGGATCAAAGATAAACATTATGACTATTTACTTGTTCAGTCCTTTTTAGGTGTTGACCACCTCGCTTCTTGGCATAATTAATAGCTTGATCTAACTCTTTATTAAAAGGAAAGCATATGCAATATATACAGATAATATACTTTGAGGTAAACGATCAACCCTTTCTGAATCAGCTATTAACATGAGCTCTTCTCGCACAAATTTCTGCTTTGGTGTATATTTATCACTATTAAGATAATATAAAACTGATTCATTCTTTATGAGAACAACTTTCAGATTTTATGAAGACTTGGTAACTATATAGGATCAATTATGTGTCTCTGATTCTCCATACTACCTTTCCATTCTGCATTAGTAAGAAGATAGTAGACGGTATCTCCTTTCTTTAACCCATTTTATTCAACTGAATGCTTATATTTTATGAATGGTCTAGATTCGACTCGTTCTAAAGCAATAGCTTTCTCTGGCTTGGGTTCCCACTTTTCTGATTCTGGTTTTCGAATAAGACATGTGGGATAATTATTTAAGTAATCAATAACTACTGATATATATCTAATCCACACTCTTATTAATGTAGGATCAGAAGTTATTGATTCAATAACATACTGGATTTTATATAGAATTTTGAGAGTGTTTAGTTGAAACGCTTCACAAAAGTAAGTCCTCTATAACTATATGAGTCAATCACTCGAATTGTAATATTGTGCTTTTGTATTAGTCAGGAGGTCTTATCCATAAATTCACGACCTCTATCGCATTGTAAAAGCTTTAACCATGTCAATAGATTATTTTGATTTCTATATATTTTCCTAAATGCTTAGCAACCTCAAAACTTTTCTTCGATCTAAGCGGAACTGAAGCCTTATATCTAGAAGCACAGTCTATTATATTAAGCACTGCTTTATATTTTTACCTCTATGACGATCATGTGTGAGAAACAGTATATTGCACTAGTATATACAGTTAGAATGTATTATTCGTTCATAGCTGACTCTAGAGATGTATTTTGAAAAAGTTTTATTAGTTTGGTATGACTCTTGATTTTCTAAAAAATCTTTGCATTCACTTAAGCGGAATCAATGCTCCTTTTTTTACATGCATCTCTCAAAAATTTAGGGTTAGAATGATAGCCAGTCGGACGATAATATATTTCACATCATATGATATTTTTTTCAATTCTCTGAGCCTCATCAGGATCTATCACAATTTGCAGTTAGCTTATTCTCAAAGTAGGATTATTATAATGGTATTATAAATTAGGATGAAATACCATGTTTAATTCAACATATTCTCAGCTTTTAGATACAAACCAGAAGCTTTGTAGTGAGCTTTAAGATAAGATTTTTATTAATAAGAGTAATGAGAAAAAAATTCGCTTTCTTGTAAAGGAGTTTGAGCAATGTTATCAAATTATCTCATTATAGGATAATACTATTATAGCCTACGAAAAAGAAGTAGAGAAACTTAAATCAGAAATATCTAATTTGTGAAAACAGCTTAGAGTTTTATAATAGGATAAAAAATTCAAAGATGAGATTAGTTTCATTCAAGATGGCTGAATCATAGAGCTCAAAAATAAGATTAAAAATCTTAAAGCGAGAATTCAGATTCTCATAGATAAAAAAATTCCAATAAATGCTTTAGATATGACAATGACTAATCTTATTGCAAATGTTAATAGAAGGTTAGATCAAATTGAAAATCATATTAGAGGGGCTGATACGCCTATGCAAAATCCTGCCAATATTATAGATGGAATCAGAGGCTCGTTAAATACTATTCAGGTTACTTTACAAAATATCACAACTGAGAGGGATCAATATCAGAACCTATTAAATGATTCAATTTAACAAGTAGAAGATCTTAGAAATCAGTTAAATGATAGTAGAAATCAGAATTTACAGTTATAACATTTATTAGATAAATCTTGCATTCAGGTTAAAGAGCGAGACTTGGCTATGTTGGCCTATAATAATGAGAGACGAGAATCCTGTCACTGGATGTTTTCATATCAGGATAAATATAAGCGTGTTCAAGGATTATTACAAGAAAATTTACTAAACAGCTATTATATCAGCAAGATACTAACCGTCTTCAGTAAAATACCTGACAGTTGTAAACCAATGCTCAAAACTAGGTAAATAGGATATTAGTTATTATAGCAAGAAAATAAACCTGCATTAGTGAATTGCTACGTGAGAAGTTTGTTTTTCAGCTAGTAATTAGGTAAAGAGATCAGAATATTTTAAATTTGCAGGGAGAAATTTTAGCATTACAGAATAACCTGTCAAATATACAATAAATAGAAATGGTAAGATACAGACCTCAATATTTTATGATTATCTTGGAGAAAATCCAGAAGATTAACTTAGAGATATGCAAAGATATATAATAGCTAGTCGAATAAATGTTATGCCTGGTGCAGGTTAGGTTCCAGAAGAGAAGAGGCATTTGGATTAATAGTATCATGCCTTGCAGATGATGCATTAAATTTTTATTTAACTCGCATCAGAGGCAAGAATTGGAGATGTAATAATCTTTCAGACAATTTGGGAGTAGCTACTTTAACTGCTGTTTAAACTTTGACTGTCAGAAATGGTAATAATAAAATTGGTAGTTTAAATACTACTGGAGAATTTTAAGGTAAAGCAGCCGCCAAAATTGGTAAAATTGGAGCAGAAATCACAACTGGTGCTGATATTATTCTGAATGGAATATAGGATGAAGACTGGTCAATAGCACCTAATGCCAGTGATGGTCTTCCTGCTATTACTATTGCTTCTGGTATTAAGCTTGATTAACTTTTATACCTGTTTAGAACTGCTTATACAACAGTTGAACACTTAAAACAAATGGCAGTTTTTAGTCAACTCATGCAAGGTGATATGTCAATTGAGCAATTTTCCACTAGAATTAAAAAGATTGGTAAATTAGCTGAAATGACTTCTGAATAGCAAAAAGAGCAATTTATTCATAGTCTGTCTCTGATAAATCAATATAATCTTCGAATGATGGCCAAATTTTATGATACATAGGATAGTATTACAAAAGCTTTAGCTGAAGCAGAAAGATTTACATTATTTCAAAAGAGTGCATCATCATCTTTTTCAATTTTTCTAGCGGCCAATTCATATGCAAATACTAATAGATCAGAGATGACTAAAAATGAAATCGAAAGCTTGATAAAAAATACAATGGCATCCTCAGAACCTTAACAGTTCTAATAAATGGCTTCATCACAATTCTAACCACAACCTGTAGGAATATATAAAAATTTACGAGATGAAAATATAGGTAGATTTTTATCATAAATTACGGAAGAAACTCTAGAATTTGTTCCTGTTCCTAATCCTACTTTACCACTAAAGCCAAAGAAAAAGATTGAAGTTGATTCTGACGATAAATTTGCTGAGCTCACAAAAAGCAGTTAAAGCTACATGTGGCTAAAGTGATTAAAAAAGCTGTGAAGACACAACAGTGATGTTCTAACTGTAATCGAACTGGACATAATTCTTGCAAATGCACTCAAAAGAAGAAAAAGAAGTCTAAGAAAGCTAAAGTTAATCTTGCTACTATGGATTCAGATTTTAATTTAGATTTTAGTATCTCCTCTAGCGAATCATTATCTAATAATAATTCAGATTCTGATACAAGTTCTTCTAATTCTTTTGATTCTGGGAACAATATCAGTGTTAATATTACCAAATCAAAAAAAAGTAAAGCGTAATACTTCATCTTGTAATAAACCTAGATCTAAAAGCAAATCTGAGAAAAAGGTCTGCAAAATAAAGCAAGATGATACATTTTGCTAATTCTTTTTCTTCTAAAGCCCAGATTATTCGTAAAATAGTCTAGAGTGAGCTTGGTTTAGCTTTGCGAGAAGAACTTAAAAAGATCCTTCCTCTATATATAATTCAGGCTCTCCCACTAGATACTAAGAAGCCTGCTAAAGAAAAGGTCAAACTGAAAGCTAATGATTTCTCATCTCTTCGGAAATCAATCCCTGTTATACTTGAGTCAGATGATGAGTATATTGATGATCATATAGAAATAGATTTCATTCAAAGAAAAGAATCTGTTACAGATGTTGTCACTGTTAAGTGTAAAATTAAGCGTCTAGTGATTCCAGCGGATACAGTTAATCCTAGTGCTAATTTTCTGATCATGTCTGAGAATATATCTAAATGATCAAAGCTAGTAATTGATACAAAAGAAAACATGATCTTAGAGGTATTGCTACTACTCCTACAAAATCCCTTGAAATTGTTAGAAATGTCCCAGTGAGTTTCACTTCCAAATGTACTACATATGCCGATTTTACAGTAGTTAAGTATCCTAAGTCAATGCTCATTTTACCTAACACATTGCTTGATAAATATAACTATGATTTACTTGTATCAAAGTAAGAATTGAGACTAAAGTGTAATAGTAAGGAATTTTTTATCCCAATTAATATGCATAGGGTCAAAAATAAGCTTGAGATGAATTATGCTAATATTACTTCTGAATGTAATGATCTGTCAGCTCTGGACAAGATTTCTCAGGACCTGCAAGACTTAAGTGAGAATAATGATGTATTAAAAAAAAGTGAGTTATGAAGAGCTCAAAAAAATACTATATGATACTCTTATCTCCAAAGCTAGATTAATTAAGATTAATAAAAATCTGCAATCCTTTTTTTCTTGCTAATTATTTATCATTTGCTATATAAGCATAGTTTTACTAAGATTCCTGTAAAGCATTTTTTGTTCGAATATAATTAAAGAGTAGAGTTATGATCTAAGAACTTTTCTAATTCGCATATAGCTTCTTTTGCTTCAATCGATCCTTTTCGATTAAAGCAAATATGTCATGTGAGATGTCTAGGGTTGAGTTTTGATAAAGACCCCCAGCTGAAATTTCAAGTAAGTCAGAATTTTGAATAGATTTAGGCTGATCCTGAAGGGAGCACTTCGTTAGTTTCTTTTTCTTTTTTTGCTTTTCTTGTGCATTCATCTCATGAAATAGATTTGCCGTTAAGGCATTTCACAAAGATCCTAAAATTAGACGATTGTTTTCTTTATCTTGCAGATTATTCTCTGAAGAAGAGACTGATGAGATGGATTGTATTTTCCTAAGCTTCTCGAAAAAGTGGTTTCCATTTTGCTGTGAACACTCATAATCGTTTCATATATCATAAACTCAATTTTTATTAATATGATACTTCTTTACTATTATATATATCAGAACTTTATTTTTAAGATGTCTAATTTCTTCAATCTGCTCAGGTGTTAAAATATTAGTACCTCGCTGATAATGAGTTTTTAGAATTGAGGTAGACATACTCCTTAGATATTTTTATATGATGTATAAAAAATATTAGAAATCAATATTTATCATTTTAGATAAATAAAATATGATAGAAATAAATATTTATTATTATAAGGTAAAAAGAAAACGTTAGAAAATATAATTTATTATTTTAGATAAATAAAATACATTCTAATTCACTATCTATAATTAATGATAAAAATAATCAATATCCTTTATATCTATTCTATATTTATCACAATTGTTCTCTAACAAAAAATATAAAAGTTTTTTTTACATGTTTATGACTAATATAAATAAATGGGAACATATGGGACCTTTGCAATAGAAAAGGGGGAAACGGCTGGAAAAAATAAAAATTGAGTTAATGCTAAATCTGAACATATTTTGACTTAAAAATCATATTTGACATATAAAAGTAAAATTGATTTTTTTCGGCAGTTTCCCCTCTTTCTATTGCAAAGGTCCCATATGATCTTAAAAAGTGATATACCACATCTTGTAAGATTCATCTAAAATTCGAGATTATAATGCTAAATTGCAGAGCGAATTTATAAATCTCAATAATGAAAATAGACAGTTGAAGGTTGAAAATTCCAAACTTGTCTTCCAGAATGCTTGTACAGAAATATCTTTTGCAAAAGCTAAAGCTGATAACTTTGCAAAATCAGAGGAAGTGAAATTGCTTCAGTCTGTAATTAATTTATTAGCCCTAAGATACTCTGATAAGAATAATCAGTTAGATTCGCGTATTAAAATTAGTGGTAAAAAAAATGATGAACTGGAAGAAGTCTTCAGCTCTAGCACTTCTTTAGTTATAGGCATCCCAGATAGTCCTATACAAGGAGAGAAAAACAGTAATTCAAATAGCATAGATTCAAAATCTAATCTTCTAGAACCAATCCTACCTGTCATTTCAGCAAAAAAGATTTTAATAGGTAGCGCAAAAGAAATGGTGAAACTATCAGATTCCCCTATCATTACAGACAAATTATTGTCATCTATATTTGCTTATTCAATAATACTTTTTTTATTAATTGTAATTATATTAGTTGTGAAAAAACTATGGAATACGTGAAAAAAACAGCGATATCTTACCAACAAAAATATGAAAATAGGGATCATGCAAAGTGCTTCTTGGCCAAATTAAATTATTATTATTTTCAATCTTAATCAACTACTGTATAAGTACTAGTACAAGTGGAACTTCTTTGAATCTTTTTTCAATGTGAACTAATATCATTTTTAGTAAATCTTTGAGCAGGTTTATTAAGACTTTTTCTGCTTGAGATACCATATACGCTAATAATTAACCAATATAAATTAGGTCGTCTCCCTTACTATTATATCCATATTGTAATTAAAATCGATAGTCATTTATTACAATATCTGTCATTTTCTCCTGATCTGTTATTATTTCACAAAATTCCTACCTATCCTCTTCCGTGATTGAAAAATAGATTTTATTAGGTTTGAAGCCTATGTACTGAAAAACTTGGTCATGTAGTTTAGCCATTATACCAATAAAACTTATCTTTAAAATATGTAGATTTTTTCAGCTGATTGTATCCTTGAGATATGGTTTTTCTAAATTATTATTTGTGAAAATACTAATGGTTATCTCTAGACATATCCGAGGTTGGGATGTGTGATTGAAGGCTATAAGAATAGAGTGATCATCCTAGGCCAGAAGTTCAAAGACAGAAATTGAAGTTAGCCAGTATTATTGCACGAAAAAAATATATGCTACTATAAATGATATTATGTGAAGCATCTTATGACTAAGTACTTAGTTAAAATTATCACACCTTCACTAGAATACTTAATAATATTATCTATTTAAGTAATTTGCTAATGTCTCTGACCTAGTTATATCCTTAAGATGAAAATACCATAAATTACTAATATTATCTAACGTCTCAATTTCTGATATGTGAAGTAAAATAGGTAGGTTAGCAATTATCTCATTTTTTCACATGGATAAAACTGGGCTAATTTCTTCTGAAATTGATACATGCTCTTTATAACATATATGATAGACCAATTTATGAAAGAATAAATTATATTCTTCAATACACTTTGCAAGCTTACTAGGATATCGAGTAAAATCAGAGCATATTTTTTCCTTTATTTTGTTATCTACTGATAGGTTTTTATCTTTTGAAATTTTTCTAGTGCATTTTATGAATCTTTCCTATAATATCTCAATAGGATTATTTTTCATGAAAATCTCATAGTTAAGCCATTCATCATGAAATATTTCGTATAAACTTCTTATCTTTTGATATAACATTTCTTGCACTTTTTTAACCACATTTCTGTAAACACGCTTATAAATAATTTCACAGAATTCTATCATCTTAGAAGTAATACCATTGACTATGATATTTTCCTTCACAAAACCCTTAAGCCATGATTTGACCTTCTTTGTGCATAATCATCTATTTGTTTATATTTCTCATCCAGATCCTTGATTTGCATTATCTTATCTGAGAGAGCTGGCTCGTACTTTTTATCATACATGATAAATCAGGCACAGAGACCAATAATTGTTTTTTTAAAATAATAATATAAATCTAGCTCCTTATTCAATTCCTTCGCCACATCAACGAATTCCATTCTTTCACCTTTTGTTCATTAATTTTTTATCATATAAATCAAAGGTCATATTAGAATGGTTACTACATAACTAAAGCGTTCATCTGGTATCAGAATTTTACTCTTATATTCTTCTCTCATTTGTCCTATAAATTGCTAGACATTTTGGTTATTCACATTAGGTTTTCATACGTCAGTCTCTATAAACTGTTTAAAATTCCATTGCTTAGTATTAACTAAAACATTCTAAGAACATCTTTAGCAATATCATGAAGTGATCGGTCATTGTTAATATCTATGGCTTCCCACATAATCTGATCCCCTATAGTTTTGAAAAGTTAAGATTTACCCTACTTCACAGTATCGATTCCTTTTATAAAAAACTCTTTAGGTTTGAAGTTCAGGGTATCTTCATAGAAGATACCAAAATACTTTTTCTTTTTAGTGAATACTACCAGAAATAGTATTTCTTTATAAGCCATTTTGAGATAATCTGATCTAATTTTTAACCTAAGAAAGTTATTTATTTTGTTGTGCAATTTTTCTATTATTCTCATAGTAATTTTAACCATTTCGGTCTAGTACTTTTATTTTGAGATTATACCTTTTCTAATATCATAAGATAGATTATATTTCTCATAATAGGAATCTGGGCAAGTGAGATATAGGGAATCAGTATCACTATATTTTATTTCAAAACCTTTTTTTTTCATGAATTCTGCAACGAGTTTGATATTTTTTCGCTCAGCTGAAGTAACACCTCTAGCAAGTTCAAGTACGTAGAATGGAAAGTTACTTTGGCCAGTTACACCATAGAATGAATTCATATACAATTTAATGGCTTTCTGCTTTGAGTTTAGAGAATTATAATTGAAGTAGATGGAATCATATTCTTTTCTAAAATCATTATATGATAAACCAATGAAAGAATTCAAGATGTCAGCTATTTCAGCATGCTTCTTAGGTTTACTTTATGAACAAATATCTTTAATTATACAAGATAGATCCACCGGTATTGTGAACAGGTAAATGTGACGCAGCTCATGTGGTGCAGAAGATCGACCGATTTAACATAATTGACATATATGATATGTCAGACATATTTGACATAGTTGACATAGTTGACATAGTTAATATAGTTGATATAGTTGATATATTAGATATAGTTGATATATTAGATATATTAGTTATATTTTTCTATGTATTTTATTTTATATAAATAAGCAGCTTTTTAATTCATATAAGGAGACAGATTGGAATTCGACAAGATAGTTTTAGTAGTTTTAGAGGCAACTGGCCTACCGTGTCACCTTTTAGCTTTAGTATTTCATTTCTTTTCTTTCTTATTTTTCTTCTTTATTTCTTTACTTTTCTTTTTGTTATCTTTATTATTATTTTTATTTAATAATAAACATATTATTTATAAACATAACTTACTGGAAATCTGTTGAATTATAACTCATTTTGATAATATAAATACTTTGATAAATCGTCTGAGTTAAAACTTGTAAATTGTTGAAAGGTTACTGCTCAATTAAAAAGAATAAACCGCTTGAACACCCCATCTAACAGTCGTAGTTCGCAAGAATTACACGTTAACATTTGGCGACGATGACAGGATCATCTTCTTCTAATTGGCGCAATAATAACACATGAGAAACACTACATGAGTTCATTTGAAGACATATTTAATTACCAAAGAAGACACCAGTAACAATACCTTCAAAGAGAACGTAATATAGTTACAACTATCCTAACACCAGACCCTTTGTGTATTATTTGCCATCCAGCACCTCTACCATCGACTTTAACAATCTCATTTCGATCCTTTTTTGAGTGGACTAAATTTATTTTGGACGCACGACAATATACTGGAAAAACTATCGAAAATTTTCGAATAGCTCAATCTGCTACTACTGTTGAATTTCAGCGATATTTTTACAATCAAACTTTTCAAGCTCTCGTCTACAACAAGCAAACTTTGTATACTATTGCTTAAGCTCTTCAATTGGTTGTTCAAGTACATCACGATACTATTGCTTTCTCTTTACCTTCTCCTACAGACTTAACCAAATACTTCAGCCTATCATACATCCTTCTCGTATTAAATCAGAATAAATCAAAAATGAGACCTAAGCCTAAGGAATCAGTAACTCGCGAAAGCGGTATAACAGTCACATTGACTTCTGAAGAGAAAAATCAACCTCTTCGGTCAGCATACATATCTGATGACACGTTATTCGTCGACACCACCCCAAGTGGAAAATTCAACCCGCCGCCTTCAGGAAGTAACATTCTAACCTTTGGCTCTTACAGAAGCACTGAAGGATTGTCTGAATCAGGATCAGAAAGTAAGAAAGGCGACTCAAAACGTAGAAGTCTTAGTCCGCTACGTTCTAAACCAAAGAGTCACCCTTCTAAGGATCAAATTAAAGGCAAAAAGCTTAGGTTTAAGAAAACTGGTAAGGTCAAAAACTGCCGCTCTCCTTCTTATTATGATAGTTCTTCTTCTTCCTCTAGTTCCAGTTCAGAAGGTAGTGACTCAGAGGATGACAGTGAAGATCCCTTTGATACTGATAATGCTAGGGACAATGATGAACGAAACTTCTTCCAAATGATGAAAGGATTACAAACTGTTTTTAAAACTGTTGGATTTAGTGGACAACGGGAGGCAAAATTTGTAGACTTTCCAACTTTTAAGGGAGGAGACCAGGACCTTCGTGATTGGTTAGAAAGATATAATAATGCTGGAGATGCGAATGAAATTTCTGACAAATGATGCCTCACATTAGTTCCATCATTTCTGAAGGGATCAGCTCTCATGTGGTATAACAAGACTAAAAATGAAAAAGACTTACAATACTGGAATAATTCGACTGACCGACAACATAGACACTGCTCTTTTGTCTATCATTTTTTGAAGCATTACTGTACAACTCATCGAAGAACACAATGGCGCTCAGCCCTTCGGCAATGTAAGTAACGTCCCAGGCAGTCAGTTGAAGATTATGCTGCTGACATCGAATCATTATATCTCAAATTAGATCCTGATTACAATATGCCTGAGGATGAAAAGATTGAACAGTTTCTCCAAGAACTCCATCCTGAGTTTCATACTGCTATTGCTGCTGCTCCTCGTGACTTAGAAGAAGCAATCGATCGAGCACGAGCTGTTGAAGCAGTATTATCTAAGGATAGTACCCTCTCTGG